TTCTTAAATCTCTGCCAAATGTCTCTTGGATCAAAATGAAATAGCACCTGAGGGATATCTTAATCCCAATTCATACTTCACTTTTCCATGTGCAGTTGTACAGAGTCCCTAAAAGGACAGTTCTGTGTTCCCTTGCAAATGGTTTCACGTTCCTTTGCAATCCTGCCTCATTACCTGCGTTGCTGTTGTACTGACAGATCCAATGATACTGCATCACCTGATGGAATTTTACATGAACTTGGTGTAAAATACACAAATATAGTGTTAATACTAAATTCCCATGGATGTGATATTACTGATGTTTTGTGAAGGAACTCAAAAAGAATTGATGGCGAATGCAAAACATTTTCTAACCCGCTACCTGCAGGAGCTCTGTACCATTGGATCTCGCAAACCTTTTACATATCGGTGCATATGTGCAAGGAAATTGACTAAATCATTCCAGCAGGTGGCAGCACTGACTTTCACAGACCAGCGGTCAACGGAAAAGATTCGAAGACGAGCAACTGTAGTTATGGACGCTTTCGATGAGCTGTGAGGTGCGGAGGTGCCCACATATACAGCAACTTCTCATATTCATGAAGGTTAAGGGCACAATATCCCCACAAATCTAGCAATTGGCAAATAATACTTGGGCAGCCTAACAGTCTGCTAGCCTGAATGATAACAAAACGTCTATTACCAATTTCTAAATAAATAGCACTGTACTGGACACTTTGCATGTCAAATTGTTTTGTAATTTCTTATCTAGACCATTTCATATAATATACAGACCATCTAAATAACGCCCCTGTATGTACGAAATTACTGTTGTATGCACTGGGAGCGCTAAGTTTTGGACCCGTTATGAAAAATGCATAATTACTGAAAATGTCGGGTAAAGCACTGAAAAATGTAAAAGTTACTAAGAGAACCATTAGATTCCACAGTCACCTGCTGTCTCTTGGATCAAAATGGAATAGCACCTATTTACTGTCTGAGGCTGCGGTAAGTTCAGTAACTAGCACGAAATCTGGTATGGATATTACACCGTTATTCTGAAGTTCAGCACTACCTGTATTCATCAGTGTCGTCAAAGTCCTGCTTGTTGTGTGTGGGCTTCAGAAAGTTGCACTCGATAACACCGATCACTCCGACACCCCGGAAACCACCCTGAATGAATCATAATGTAGAATTTAGGTGTCTAACTTGTTGTTGGCAATTACATAAGAAGTATGACCAACAGAACAGCAATGCTGCATGTTTGAAACCCCCCATCAACACAAAAAATGCAAGAATATTTACAGACTCACCTTGCGCTGGCAGCCCACCCTCTCAAATGCCTTGATTAGACGGTTGTTACGGTACATCATCATGCCGTACTCATCCTTATTTTTAATGTTGTACCCAAAGGTGATCGGGATGCGTTCCTTCTGAGATTTGTTTAGGAATATCAGTCAAAATTTACAGGCAAGAGAAGTTCCCCCCTTCAGTGGGCACTAGCTCTTCATGTAACACCATGTCACCCATCATGGGAAATGAAAACTGACAGGCAGGTAATCAGACTAAAGCTGTTGAGGCACCTAAATATGGTTCTGTTACCTAAATTTCAGATTTCAACCAACCATCCGTCCATCCATCCAACCATCCATCTATCCATCCATCCATCCATGCATCCATGCATCCGTTCATCTTCTAACCATTTACTCTGGTCAGTCTCGAGAGTGAAAGTGGATACAAGGAAGACAGGTTTGTATTGGTCCTTGCGGGTTAATGCCAGGCTCTTGGAGATGAGCTGCATCTTCACCTTCTCACCTCTGATGATGATCTGCATGCGAGGCTTTAAGTACAAGATGCTGCAGTACGCCTATTCCACACACAGGAAGGAAAATTAGAGACCCCCAAAGCTGCACTTATTGTGTGCAAAATAATAAAATGTACATAAAATGTATTTTTTTCACTTTTGTTACTTTTTGCATCTGCCTTTCATTTTGGACAGTCTGTATGACCCAGTACATATCCTATACTATGGCAGATATTTACACGCTCCAAACCCTGCCTGAGATCCTATTGGTTCCCCATCTGAAATACTCACACGCAGCGAGTAGATGATCTCCGGCACTGACTGTGTGATGTTTTGGTTCTTGTGCGTCTCACACGCATCTTCCGGGATCCGGATGTCATACCTGTTCGTGCTGAGATCAAACTCCGTCTCTCCATTCGCCACTCTGGCAGGACCAAAATACATTTAAGACCCCTAGAGCACACACACAGGTAAAGGCTCCTTTCTCCACAAACGTTTGGGTCACCTGCGCAGGTTCCAGATGATGATGCGTGTGCCTGTAGAGCTGATGGAGGTAATAGCCGTCAGCTCAGTGAGGAGCTCCTCCTCTGTGTTGAAGGGGGAGTGTTTGAGAATGTCCTGCAGACTGGCTGCATCCTCTACTCTGAGTGAGGCCTAAGGTTAAGGACCAAGGGTCAAACTTTACTAAGTGTTGGTTAATTTTGCTGGGAAATTATACAATCAAAGGAATTCATTAGTCTTTTCAAAAACTCAAATAAAACTCTTTGTTTCCATGTATAAAAGATACTTGATGTAGGTACTTCAAGAGCAGTTAATACATTGTGGTTTTCGTGAAATAAAATTTTTCTATGGTGGTTTAGTTAAAGACAAAAAATGAATGAAAAATGTGTTTTACATAGAAAAAACACATCATAGTCAGAATAAACACAGATCATTACTTCTGTAGAACATAAGATTTTGCCACTTTGAATTAAATGTGTAGCAGTCCATCCATACATCTTACATAACCACTTAACTATTACAGGATCATAATGGGCCTTCAGCCTGTCTAGGGCACAGGAGATACAATGGTAAATGGACTGCATTTATATAGTGCTTTTTTTTACCAAAGCACTTTACAATGTACACCTCACAGTCACCCATTCACACCACACATTCACACACCGGTGGCGGAGGCTGCCATGTAAGGTGCCAACCAGCTCACCAGGAGCAATTTGGGGTTCAGTGTCTTGCTCAAAGACACTTCAATGGGGTCAGGAGGACCCGGGGCTCGAACCTGCAACCCGCCGGTTGCCAAACAGTAGCACTACCTCCTGCACCACCATCACCCCAGCTGGAGTCACCCTCAGCTGGATGCCAGTCCAGGTCTTACATTAGCAGTTTAGCATTTTTGTCTGTAAGAAAGGATACGAGCTCTGCCCATCATGTCCGAGGGTGACGATGGGGACCACCACATGCTCAGCCTGGATGCTCTCCAGGTAGCTCTGGGACAGCAGCCCCACACTCATAGTGTCACTTATCTTGGAGAAGATGATGGCGTCCTTCCCCAGACGCATAGAGCTGGACTTGAAGCCGTTTCCATACATGCCCACTGGGGCGTGGCCTCCGACGGCTTGCTTATCGCTGAACCCGAAACTGGGGAGAAGATTAGTTTACCATGAAATGTCATAAAAACCTGAAAGAAAACAGCTTTAATACTCAATGTTGGGTTACGAGAGCAATGACATTTCTATGGTCATGTGATTCCATCTTATTATTCAATCGTATTATGCAGTGTTGAACTGACGATGGATTTAATGCTGCTGGAGAAACAGTATCAGAACTGAGACTCAACAGAAAATTTGTGTCAGAAAGCTGGTGCCACAAAAAGGTATAAATCATCTCAGGACTATGATATCTAACAGAGCAGGGAAACTAATCAGTGATTGTTCTGATTCCCTAGATCTTCCCTGCTTTCCTCAGGTGCATGTAAAAATCTGTTATAACTTGTTCCTCAGTTGCAAGCAGTTTGCAGGGTATGACTTCACAATAAGGCTACCTTTTTAGCACTTCCAAATGGTAGTAACTCATTAATAAAGAAAAAAAACGTAACTCGTTTATGATTGTATATTACTGATATATAAAGTGTTACAACGTAATTACTAACCTAATTATAAACCATTCATAAACACTTTATAAGGGCAGTCTTATTGTAACGCCGTATCAATCTGACCCAAATAAAGCCAGTAACTTTCAGCCATAATCCACTGTAAAACTGGTAACTCAAGACAATCCTTCAGCTATAGAGGCAACAGTTTAAGCAATAATCCAAGAAAGCTATCCTTTAGTCATAGATGTCAGACTATTTCAAAATAGGTTTCTTTTTATGAGTGAACAAAACAGAAATGATGTGTAAATCTGGGGGCTGGTGTGTGGCTCAGTGGGTGAGGACACTGTGCCTGCGATTGGAAGGACGCTGGTCCTGTGGTTGACACAGTGATTTCCAGAAATCAGCTGAACCTGCTCAGTGTCCACACACAGGACTGACATTCAGTGTGGGATTGTAGGTATTTTATTAATTCCCGCTAACATAATGTGGGAATTTCCTGCTTTGTCTTGATGTAGAATCTCAAAAATGTGCAAACTCAAAAAAGGAAATATGCTCAAAAAAATGTAACCACCAGGATTGGTGGTCAAAGTATTGGGATAAAACCCTCAATCATTGAATTCAGGTGTTTCATTCAGACCCATTGCTACAGGTGCATAGAATCAAGCACCTAGCCACGCAGTCAGGTTTACAAATATTTGTGAAAGAAAGGGTTGTTCTGAAGAGCTCAGAGAATTCCAGAGTGATAGTCATAGGATGCCACTTTTGCAATAAGTCAGTTCCATGAAATTTCTTGTCTCCTAGATATTCCAACTGTAAGTGGTATTATTGCAAAGTGGAACCGTTTAGGAACAACAGAAATTCAGGTATGATGTGGCAGACCATGTAGAGTAACAGAGCGGGGTCACCAAGGGCTGAGGCGCATAATGCATAAAAGTCTGTATAAATAGCTGCAGAATTCCAACCTTCCTCTGGCATTCACCCCATGACAAAACTGGAGCTCCAGGAGCTTCATGGAATGGGCTTCCATGGCCGAGCAGCTACATGCAAGCCTCACATCACCGAGCGAAGTGCCAAGCATCGGATGGAGTGGTGTAAAGCACGGTGCCACTGGACTCTGGAGCAGTGGAAACGTGTTCTGTGGACTGACCATTCATGCTTCTCTGTCTGGCCGCCTGATGGACAAGTCTGGGTTGGTTGGATGACACAACATTACTTGCCTGAAAGCACTATGCCAACTGTAAAATTTGGTGGAGGAGGCATAATGGAATGGGGTTGTTTTTCAGGGGATGGGCTAGCCCCCTTATAGTTCCAGTGAAGGGAACTCTTAATGCTTCAGCATACTAAGACATTTTGGACAATTCTATGCTTCCAACGTCGTGAGAACAGTTTGAGGAAGGTCCTGTTCAGTTCCAGCATGACTGTGCCCAAGTGCACAAAAGGGCCATAAAGCCATATTTGGGTGAGTTTGGTGTGGAAGAACTTGACTGAACCGCAGAGCCCTGACCTCAACCTCACCAAACACATTTGGGATGAACTAGAACGGAGATTGCAAGCCAGGCCTTGTCATCCAACATCAGTGCCTGACCTCACAAATAGTCTTCTGGATGAATGGGCAAAAATTCCCACAGATACATGGAAAGCCTTCCCAGAAGAATGACAGCTGTTATAGCTGGCATGTGGGGGACCAACTCCATATTGACGCCTATGGATTTAGAACGGGACGTCATAACTGTTCCTGTAGGTGTAATAGCCAGGTGTCCGAATACTTTTGTCCATATAATGTTTGAAGAACTGCTCGCACTATTGGCCATCACTTTGCAACACTAGTCACCACAGATGGAATTATTATTAGTCGATATTACGTTGACTAATCGTTGCAGCCCCAGTGAACGATGTCTGAGAGCAACAGCTATTCTCTGCCTAATAAGGCCTGACACATGCAGTCCACAAATTAAATATTTTGACCCGATTGTTACATCCCACAACACCACATAAAGGTTAGTTCAATGTTTAACTGTATGATTCATAACTGTATAATAATTTAGTTACTTGGCGTTTGGTAATGAAGGGTCTAAGGGTCATAAGCAGACAACTGATAGCACCTTCATCCATAGCAACTAGTTTCTAAGTAATTAATCATGTGGTCGTTTATCATAAACATAATAAATTATATTCATGCAATGAAATGCAAATCCAGCTGCTTCAATGGACACATATTTGAATGCTGAAAACAAACACTTTACCACTTATTCAGCAACTTTTAAATGATCAATATGTTTTGACATTAAACCACCCAAAAATGCAATCAGAAAGTAACAAGTGAACTTGTCGTGGAGTACAAACCCAACTCTAACCACTGAACCTACTGAGAACTCCAGGATGTGGGTTTAGATGCATACACATGCACAGTCTACTAAAAACATTTACTGAAACTCCAACAAGGCTGAATAGAGAATACTACAGATCAGGTATTCCATCTAAGTAATATAAACCAAAAACAGGCAAACTTACGTGTGAGTGTGGGTGAGAGATGTAGACGTCTAACAGAAAACATTTTGATTCAAAGTATTTTTGAACTACAAGAATACAAAACACTTAAGTATTTTGATACAAAATATGAATCCATTTTCATCAACCCTATGAAATACAAATTACAAAACCCTATTTTGTATTTGAAATAGGTATTTGAAATACATGCACGTATCATAAATACCTCCCATCCCTGCCTGCAATACCACTTCATGCAACAGTATGGACTGTTTGAGGTTTACCTCAGCATTTTGTGCATTCCTTTTTTGGTCATACCCTTCCCATTGTCCTGAAATGTAAGGCAGTCAAACCCCTTTATCCGAGTCCAATCAATCCATAACTGCTTGGCCATGACATCTGGGTCGTATGCATTGTCTGGGTGGAAAATAATACACATTTACATAGCATCAGCACCTCCAGTAAAAGACAATTTAATACCACAAACGTTTCCTGTAACTGCCTTATTAAAGTTCACTAGTACAGGTGTGCCCCGCTTTACACCACTTCGCTTTTAGGAATATGACTTTTACGAAAAAGCAGAGAAGTGAAAATAGCGTTTCGCATATGAGCGAGCCAATTACAGATATACAGTTAGTTGCGGCATATAGCCTACGACGGTGGTTCCATTAGATTATAACAGTGTTGAAAAATTCCTACAGCCTAGTGATGTGGCGATACGCATTACGCACACGTTTGTGGGGATGCTGATGTAAACAAACCTATTGCGCTGCCAGTCGTGTAAAAGTAAGCTATATCACACGAAATACTTCATAATGGTAATAAACAACTATATTAACGGGTTTTTTGTTTACTATACTATATTCTTTATAGTTATTTAGGCTATAACATCTACGTTTGCGTAAATTGCGGAAGGCTACTAAAACATTCGTTTCTCAGAATGTACTGTATCCCTGTCAATTTATAAGCGACGCATGACTGTATTGATTCTGGTCAGTGAAACTACACTGCAGGCACACATGCATTTTTTCTACTTTATTAAGTATGCTATTTACAGTATTTACAAGGTTGTTAACTTTGGTCAGCTGGCTGGCGTGAGATATTCAAGTTTTGTTGCGATGATGAGCTTCATACCGATCAGCTCCGCGATGGCACTGAACGGCCAGGTGTGGCTGGTGGAGTTCGTGTGGAGAAACTTGGGATCGAGCTGCAAAGGGACGAGCCAGTGCAATTAAATATCATACATGACAAGGAACCACCATTTCGCGTTCATTGTCGCAAATATGCTGTGCACATCTATGAATTACTAAAATCACAGTTAACGGCAGCGTACAGCTGGTTAAATGTAAATGTTGAATCAACTTAACACAGTTGAAGTAATAAAGTAGTCAATCGCCGTTACATTCAATGCACAACGTAATTGATCACACGAAATATCTGAAGCTGCCTCAATGTAAATAATTTATTCTGTTTAACCCATGGTCGTAAATTACGCGTAGCCTACTGTACGAAGGTTTTTTAGCCGGCGTGGATGTCACTCACCATGCTCAGGGGTACCCCCACCATATTCGGCATACTCATCTTTCGGCTTTGGTTAGTCTCCGGTCCCCAGACACTGTAGTCTTCACCAGTATTTATTTAATATTTATAACAGTAGACACCCATCACCCGACGTCATACCGAAACTTATAGCACAATTATTATCGAAAACGAAACCGGAAACTATCGAAATGAAATTAACGAAAACGATTGATTTTAAAGAATTTTGCAAACTAAAACAAAATAGGCCTCATTAACACGGAGTAAATGAAAAGCTGAAAATAAAACTTGCAATGTGTGAAAAACTAACTGAAACAAAATTAGAAAATGAAGGTAGTTTTCGTGTTTGACGGCACGGCTATACAAACTGGCCGCGCTACTGTTCCACAGAGATATGGCTGGTAGGAAAACGCCGGAGTTCTGAATTAGATTATTTCGAATTTAACTTAGTGATGGGATTTAGAAACTGTGAAACGTTCCGACACATCTGAACAAGTCTTTCGAAATACTTCAGACTCAACATTGGCATTGGTATGTTACTGCAGTCATTATAATGTGCTGAAGTTCCCCTTTACTAAATTTAATACAGCATGAAACTGTTAATGTGATACAGTGTGTTCACTTTGTGTGTTTGTGGCCACTACAAATGCATCCTTGTTACCATTCATTATGTTGTGTATAGGTAAAATGCACCATGTTGCCAAAAGTATTGGGACACCTGCCTTTACACACACATGAACTTTAATGGCATCCCATTCTTCATACATAGGCGCCTTAATATAGAGTCGGCCCACCCTTTGCAGCTACTTCTGCACACTGTGCGCCTCTACATGCGTTATCCATGCTCTGTGATTCTATGTTGCTGTTGTTCCCAATTGCTTTCACTTTGTTATAATACCACTAACAGTTGACTGTGGAATATTTAGTAGTGAGGAAATTTCACGAATGTACTTATTGCACAGGTGGCATCCTATCACGGTACCACGCTTGAATTCACTGAGCTCCTGAGAGCGA